AGCGATGTCCGTAATATCAAGGTAGGAGCCACCGGCCAAGTATCTAATCGTACAGTAGAGGCACAGTTCGGAATGATGGAACCACCCCTTCGCACGGCTTGGGTCTCATTTACAAGCAGGTCGTCGACTACGAATGAAAGCAACTTGTCAAAGCTCTCTTTGCGCATCCGGAGTCGTCTAGCAAAGGTGGTACGTTTCTGATGTTTCTGGCAATACCGATCCCAATGCAACCGTTGTTCAAAAATGGACGGATTTCTGGGTTCGCCTGGTAGACACAGTAGAAGACCAACCATAAGAATCGATAGTTGCAGAAGCAACGCCACATTTTGTTCGCATTCCTCATCATTGAAGTCCATTACGGCAGAGTAACTACACGACAACGACGGTGCTAGCAACAACGTGGTAGAGTTACTGTGTTCTCACTTTTACTATGATACTACCTCTCGCTTTTCGAATTTTCGAGCGATTGACCTTTTCGATTTTCGAAACCGCTAGAGTTGGGGTTGGGGATTTGTGGGATTTTACCTGACTGAGTTCGGCTTACTCGAGCGTTTTGATTGGTCCTACGCGAATTCTTTTTTCTCATTAATTTTGTACGGCGAATTGAGAATGCAAAATTGCAGATACGCCGTACCAAAATTAATGAGAAAAAAGAGGGAAAGCCAGCCGACTTTAACAGTTATCTTGATTTCGCGTATGCACGGAGGAAAAAAGAGGTCAAAATGACTGGTTAGGAACGATCCTCAAGCTCAAAGAAGAAAAAGGAACCTGCCTCTTCAGTTAGTCAGGTCGAAACCATTGTCTTGGATATGAAATCATCTCATGGCGCCGTGGTCGGCTTTGGTTTGTGGACGGCCGGTCACATTGGAACCATTCTTGGTTACCGCACCGTTTTGATCAAAAGCTTCTCCCAATGGTTTTGGCCCTAGTCGAGCCGACAGTCCCGATACGTGCATTGGCCGTGTGGGCCGGTCCCATGCCAACTGTACAGAGAAGTTTCCCTTGTTCTTGGCCACCGTGGTGCTCAACACAATCACAGGTGGCCCTAACATTGCCGCTCTAGCATGGTACTATGTGTACGCCAGGATGGGCCAAAGTATCAGTCGCTGCCTTGGTGAAACAGGCCTCAATACGACCATTCGATTCCTGTGCTTTGGAACACAATTTGGGTTGCTTGGTAAGATGCTCTACAAGACCATCAAAGAGTTGGAAAGACCGTGCCCTTTCTGGCGACAGGTGCATGCTGAAGTAGATGTACCCCACCACAGACCACGATACTCCACAGCCTCACATACCGGTACCTCTATGCAGCAACGGGATCGAGTAGTCCATGGACATGACCAGGAAGGCCGAAGGCGATGCTTGAAGTGGCAACTTCCTTGGATGCGTTGTAAATAATCAAATGCCGCCAACACGGGGAAGTTCTTAGTTCTTTTTCTAAATACCGTATTCAACTCGATGAAGTGGAGGAACCAATGGTAGAACCAGCCAGCGGCCGAGGCGCCTGGGGGGTGCCTCAAAACAGCTCATCTTTTCCTGTCTTCACAGATTATATCCCCAACCACCGGATTTTCGGATTTTCTTGTGATCGCCGAAAGCTGAAAAGCATTCTGAAGCGGTCGAAGGTGGTAAAGAGCGGTCGAAAGTGGTATATAGCGGTCGAAGTCGGTAAATAAAGCCAAATAAGACGGTAAAAGAGGTGGTAGAAGGCGGTCAAAAGCGGTCGAAGATGGTTGAGAGTGATCACAGACATATGGAGATGGTTTCGGGGTTGAGCAGGGCCTCAGGAAGGTGGGAAAAGCTAATTGAGGGAAGACACGTCAATGCAAGTTGGTTTGAGGCACCCCCCTGCCTTCCGGTCTGGAGATGGCAGAACCGCGTGCAAAGAGACGACAATTCACAACAATGGGGAGCATTTCGATTAGTGACAGTGCAACCGTGTCGGTCGACAAGGCGCAAGGCAGCTATTGTTGCTGCTCGGAAAATTGCAGAGCACCCTGACGACGAGGGCGATGACGCGATGACACGACGAGGACGACCAGTGGCCACAACACAACGACGGAGGTACACTGTAGCTTTGCATCTTTTGGCATGGAGATTTTCTCAATCAACAGTTGAATCTCTGCTGCCTGCTCTACAGTATCTTCTTCGCAATGACCTGAATCATTCCTTTCATTCGACGAGGCGTCTCCTGCAATGTTGGCGTATGGCGGAGCTAGCTCTTACTCTTGTAGTGTGCCTGGAACTGTTTTCGTGGATAAAAAGATACGCCCAGTTGACCTGAGCCTTATATATAGTGGAATCATTACGGGCCACACGACTCGACTGATCGATCAAATCGTCACACGACTGAATCTTCAGGGTCACTCCGCAACTCCGGCAGCCTTGCTCCGCTCCGCACTCACAGCTCGCTCCGCAGCATCGAACACGGCATCAAACACCACCTAAAAGAGCAACCAAGCCAACAACACACAACCACCGTCTAGCTACCATCAAGACTACTCTGGGAGGCCCAGGAAGTGTGTTGTTGGGTAGTATAGAGCATGAAATCAGTGCTCATCAGTGGCTCAGTCTCGTCTCGTCACATGTCGTTTTCCATCTGGCAGAATCCGTCATCCCAACATCTGGCAGAATCTGTCAGGTGAAAAATGGGATGTCACCATGATGAGCTCACTTTTTTGTTCAACCGGATTGCTAGAGTTGCATACCCAACCGAACAAGGAAGACTTTCGCGATTGTTGATAAGCCTAGGCCAGATCAACCCCCCTACTTTCAATTACCTTTTCTACCAATCTTCTATTCAATACCTATCAATTGCAAAATGAAGTTCTCTTCTTCTATCATCAAGCTGCTCTCGTGGTCATGGACCACCGACAACAACAACAGCAACACCAAGAAGACCCCCGTTCTCCAGGTCACCAAGGAGATGACGGGCAACAACAACAAGGATGTTCCTGTGACAGAGGAAGTCCCAACGTTCCAACTGGATGAGTTGGACAAGTCGGTCGTCGAAACAGCGGCACTGTTGCACAACTATGGAACGAATCCTGATGTGGAGTTCCAGCAGCACGGTCGCTACCTAGGTGCCTACGACCTTTCCCTGGTTCCTTCGGATCAGCATGGTCACTACGGATACGACAAATACAACCAGCACCAGCCCAAGGGCTGTCGCATCAAACCCAGTCAATCAGCCAACACTCGCTGGAAGGCCCATTACGGTCAAGACACCGAACGGAGCAATGGAAACCGTTTATCCTTTGCTCCCGTCAACACTGTAGTGGGGTACTCTTCTGGCGAGGGCGAACAAGAAGAAAACAGCCGTGTCTATCGAGACATGAACAAACAAGTGCCACAGGCCCGACACGAATTCTGGCATGAAGCCCAACAACAATTCATTTCCGTCGGCACACCCACACCCCATGAACGTGTCTTGGATCTCGTGCAGTTGATTCAAGAGTACGGATACCAACAAGTGGCCAAATGGATCACCAACAACCAATGGTTCCAAAGCGACAAAGCGTATCTAAAACAAGCCAAATTGTACATTCAAATTGATGCCGTGCATCAAGACCTCGAGGGACTTGTCAAATTCATCCAGGCGAAGAGAGGAAATGACAAGCAAGTCGCCCACTGGTTCATGGTCAACGAAAAGAACACTTACATGTTCGAACTCGCCATGTGCCACTTGCACCATGGAGGAATTCAGCGCAACGCTGACGACGAAATTTGCACCTTGAATACGCGAGAACAGATTGCCAATCGACGATTTGTCTATCGCAAGGTCAAGGACGTCTGCATGGAAGATGCAACACCCGTAGTAGTAGAACAACAACCAACAACAACTAAAGACGTCGAGACCATAGAAACAGTCTCGACCGTCGACAACAACAATGTGGACAACAAGATGGCATCCGATGCCACAATCACATGCGAAGCAGCGGTGGTTCCCACATGCACAGCAGTGGTCCCATACATTCAAAAGTGGCATGTGAAACACTTCAAGATCAGTGTGCATGGACAACAACCATTTGTATTGGAGATGCGAATGATGAATGGTGTGCTACTTGGAGTGGTACCCAACGACATTCTCGCAGCCTTGATGAAGGATGGTGGAGACCTTGTCAAGGAATTGATGCGGCGGCACGAGACACTACAATTGGAGGCAGGCGTTGCCTCGGACGATATGGATTTCGAATTCGTGACTGGCCAAGTGGTAGCTGAAGAACCTCTGGTTGGGGTCGAGGAACAACAACAAGTTGATGCTGAAGAACCACAGGTCGACAACCGAGTCGATGAGGAGGAAAATGTGGACACAGCACGATCAACTTTGCGACGATCAAAGAGACGCATGGCGGCAATTGCATCTCAGAGAATCACAGAACAAATGAAGACAAAGCCACGGCGGGTGGCAGTTGAACAACCTAGAATTAAACGTAGACGGGCGGCGGCCACCAAGAAAAAGTCGACAAAGCAAAAGGTGAAGGGCAAGAAGAAGAAAACGACACAATCTGTGACGGACACACAGCAGCAAACAACAGTTCAGACAACAACTCTTTCTGGACGGCAAGTCAGAAAGCCTGACCGGTACATTCCAGTCTAGGACAACAGGTAAGTAAGGGGCGGTGGTGACGGATTGCGGGGACTACTAACACATGAATACAATACACAACGAGCAAGCATCTGGTGGGGTGCAGGGCTATATACAACAATTTTGCGGAGATGAATACAGTTGGTTCAATTGAAGGGTCACGTCGAAGGTAGCCAGGTTTGTGGTTCCTGTGCTAGGCAGCCTCTATTGCTGAGTGCTTGTCCGAACGTCCTCCACGCGACGAAAGTCCAAAGTTAATACCTGTGACACCCGACAACCAACCTCTATCATTGTTGATGCTACAATCTCAAATACATCCTTACATAAACATAGCACAATAACACATAGTAGAGAATCTTTACAAGAACAAAAATCAGGTCTTCATTCTTTATAGTAGTTGTAGTAGCTAGTGGTAGTTCATCCATTGTGGGGCAAGCTCTGGCATGTGCTGGAACCAGGTACCGGTAAGTGGTCGTCGTGACCATGTGCGAAGAGGTCACTCCATGGGCTGTGGGTGGAGGCGACTCGTCACTCACTTCGGGGGGTGCCACAATTACAGGCACTAGTACATGTCTGTACCGGTAAGGTACCTGGTACATCGTATTGGGTAAAGCTGGTAAAGCTAGCTATTGGGAACTTAGTGGACGTACGGTGGCAATGACCTTTCACAATCTGTTGCTGTAGCTACTACGCTCGGTACCCCGTGAATTGTGCAAGGATCTCTTTCAGCTTGTCGCGTTTGAGCGGTTTGCCATAAAAGCCGTCGAACCCGATTCCGTCGGCTTCCTCTCTTGTCCTTTCGTTGTCGTCCCCAGTGAGCGCAATGACCGGTGTGGTAATCTCAAGCTTTCCCTTGATGATCCTGGTTGCTTCCAGGCCATCCATGACTGCAACATTGGAAGAAACGTTAGTGTGTGTGCATGATTCGAGTCAACCATCATTGGCTGTCGGAAATGTGCGTACCTGGCATTCTCAGATCCATAATGATGAGATCGTAGGTCCCCGGTGTGGTCTCCTGCAGCAACTCCACTGCCAGCTTGCCATTCTCCACCCATTTGGTAGCACACTTTTCGACGGACAAGGTTCGACACAACATTTTGGCACAAGTTTTGTTGTCTTCTACTACCAGAATGGATGGCGGCTCTTGGCATTTGACACCCTGGGATGCCAGGCAGGATACTGGAGGAGTGATACTAATGTCGCAAGGTTTTGGGTCCTCATGTTCAAACGTAAGATGCGAATTGTCCTTTCTTGCAGGGTCGTCGCGTCCATTCACCATGGATGGTTCCGTGAGGATTGTTGCTGTTGTCGTCGCCGTCGTTGCTGTCGTCCAAGGAAGAGATCGTAGACGAGACGACGATGATCGCGTAATGACAACTCGTTCGCTGGGCAGTTCCTCCTTTTTGTTGTTGGCCAACAATATGCCAGTATTGTGCGACACGGTGTAGGGCAGCGAAAAGGAAAACCGCGTTCCTTCTCCCATGCGCGAAGTGCACTGCAATTCCCCTCCCAATGACTGCACGAGATGATATGTCAATGACAATCCAATCCCCATGCCATTTTTCTGATGCGACGCAATACTCTGTTCAATGCGTTCGCGCAACGTCGTGGCCATGACGAGACAGTTGGTATCATCGGGCAGCAGTTCTTGATGATAGCGTTGAAAAATGACGGGCAAGTCGCCGTCTCCTTGGTCGGGCAGTAGTTCCAGTCCAGGTCCGGTATCCGTGACGGCAAATGTAAGGCGGGGTGTGTATCCAATCTCCAAAACGACACGGCCCCGTTGTGTCACGTGAAGGGCATTGTTCAAGAGATGTTTCAAGATTCTCGTGAGCACGGTGGGGTCGGTCACAGCCATGCTGGGTCCTTTCTTGTCATTGGCGGATTGTCGCAGCTCGAGCGCAATTTCGACATTTGTATTGTTGTGGTTGTGAGGGTCGTCTGCCACTTGCTGTAGTACATCTCTCCCCAACTGTTCCAGCGACACAATCTCGGGATGCATGTGCAGGACGCCACCTTGATCAAACTTGGCCAAATCGGCGACATCATCGAGTAATGCGACACTTTGATGTATTTGTTCATTGGCCATGTGTACCATTTCCATGCAGTCTTGCATCGTTGTCGTTGTAGTATTAGATTGTTGCTGTTGCTGTTGCTGTTGCTGTTGTTGTAGATACACTCCAATGGCATCGACCATGGTTTGTGTGACATGCAAGGGAGTGCGCAAATGATGAATGGATCGTGCCATGAAATTGTCGAGCATTTGGAGACTGCGTTTGGTTTCTTCGAGCAGCAGACTGGCACGGGCTTCTTTGATTTTACGAGCCGTATCGTCTCGTACAAAGCATCGCGTATGACAAAATGAGCCATCCTTCTCGTAGCGGACATTGGAATCAATGAGTAAATGCATGACTTCGCCCTGTTTGGTCAAGAATCGTGCGGGGACATCCTTGACGTAGCCTTTGGAAGGGTCTCCCAATTGTTGGAAAATCTCTCGAAAGAGTGGCAATTCCTCGGGATGACAAAAGTCGGTAATGGTATGTCCGATAAACTCTTCTTCCGTGTATCCAAAAGCCCGTAGTTCCGTCTGGTTGGCCCATAGAATCTTGCCTTCACTGGTCAACCAATGCAGTGCAATGGGCGCATTCTCGAAAAAGTCAATCCATTCGGCATCTTGTTCTCGTTGATGCACATCTTGATCCGAGGAACAGTAATCGCCCAACAAGACCAATTCGCCTTCCGTATTATTGTATCGCAGGAACCAATCAAAGAACCGACGCAGTGGGAATCCACTACTGCCACCCGCCAAGGTTACCATTTCAATGTTCCTCACGCGGATGCGACCACTACTACTACTATTGGCAGCATCCAATGCCGACTGCATGGCACTGCGAAAGCGATCCCGCGAATCCTCCGTGGCCGCCATGGAAAAGTCCGAATCTTGAAACTTGTACAGTGGACCCATGTGTTCTTGAAACAAGTCGTTGACGGCCAATGGTTGCAATGTGGTCGGATCCAAAGACACCATGCATAGCGGGAGATTGGAGAGAGTCTCGGCTCTCATAATGGCGCCCATTACTGTATTGTGCTGTATTGTATGTATGCAAAGGATGCTGATAGTAAAGGTAGGACTTGACTTCTTTTAGAAATGGAATTGACTGTGGCAGCTTGCAGGTTGTGGGGGTAGAATGGAATTCGATTGGGCGAGAGCGGAGTATCGGAGTTAGCGGACGAAGGCCTCTTTACAGCGTACTACGCTTCTACGGCCATTTTCCATGTGCTGTAGACCAAAACACGAGATGTGCGAATGAATGAGTGTTCTTTTCACGGTAAGACTGGTGACGTCAAGAAATATTTATTAATTAAAATGTGTCGCACGACAGGAAGCCTTCTGACAAGCCAGCAGAAATAATGAAGGCACCAAAGTTGAAAATTCCAGACACGGGGTGGCAGGGCCCTTACAGGTTTCGTCTTCCCAACCTCAGAATCGAGACCTCACGCAGCGCTCTTTCGACGAATAATGGACTGTGATGAACCCGAGTTTCCGTCGACGCAACGATTGATTCGACATCACACATGTCAATGCCACCACCAGGCAGCAGCCGCAACCTTGGCAAAAACTACGCCCTGGCTTGGAACACCGGAGGAGGAACTCACATGACGCTTGTGTACCTCACGAATGTCAAACGTGGATACGAACAAAACCGCGTCAAGACCCTGGTCGAGGACTACTTGGATGCCAATGAGGTTCCCGAGCAACTCTTGTTGAGGGTCGGTGACATGACGACAAAACGCTGTGTATCAGTTTGCAATCCAGAGATTGCAGCACTGCAAGTAGCGCTCCATGACTTTCTAAGGGAGAGGGGATTTGAAATGCGTCCTTTGAGGCCGCCCCATATCGATCTGCGAGGTCAATCCGATGTCATTTTGGACGAAACAGTGGGCACGCGGAATTGGAATTGGTAACCAAGCAAGCTGGTAGAAGAAACGCAGAACATGATAATGCAAACACAAACAAGCAATGGATCCTACATAGAATGGCTGCATTTGCGTCCAACCGAGCACTTTCGAATGCATGCACTTTCCGTAGTTTCTCGCGTTGTGGTGCCAGTTGCAAAAGTTTTTTTCAAAAGAGAGCCAGTGCTGGTTCCTGCACGAGGCATAGGCAACAGGAACGCCCCCATCTGCGTATAGATCCAGGAGGTTCTAAAATGTGGCCGTCATGTGCCTCAGACAAGCAAGGAATACAAACTGTGACAGTGACCAAGGCGTTGGTCAACCCAACTTCTATTCCCATGGCTGAATATTTCAGCCTAATGTTCCTGTGTAGCTACCCCACAAAATAGACCTTGACCATGCCTGTTGTGCCCGCTTTTGAGAGGCTGAGATATCACTCTCGACGAGCGACACAATCGATTCCCAACTTCATCCCGCCACTTTCTAGCTAGCTAGCCCGTGGGAGAGACCGTGGCATTGACTTTGGCAAACTCTTCCTTTCGCATACTCTTGTATTCCACTTTTCGTCCACTTCCCCGTGTCAACCAATAGGAATCCGGAGTAGCTACTTTGACCCACCACCCCTCGCGTCACCATCGTTATGGTTATTTGACAAGAACACTTGGCGTCCCAACTGTGCATCTCCCACAGACGGATCCATCCCCTCTTCAGTGGTCAAGCGAGGAAATTGACAGTCATACGCTTGTCCATTTCGTAACACCCCCCGCAATTCCAATTGATTGTCCTTGTCGGAGAAGCCCACCAGTTCCACCACGGACACGGCCTGTCCGCGATTGTCGGCACAACTTGTATCGGAAAAGGACGTATCCGCCGACACAATTTCGACCCCGGTATACGCGGCCGACAAGACGGCCGGACAATCGCCCGTGGGTTTGTGTCCCACCACGACACGTCGAATACTATTTTGGGTGAGTAATAACCATTCGGCCACACTTGCGTCGAATGGATCGCTGCAGACTTTTTCAAAGACGAGTGGATTGGTGGTTTCTTCTTGGGCAATGACACGCGCCTCGCGTTCCAACGCAGCCGCATGGGTGGTGATGCATCCTCCGTCGCCATAACAATTGCTGATAATGGAGCGTCCCCACATGGCGGGTCGATTCTGGAGCGCCATGAGGGCTTCACCGCCCCGACTGTTCCGTTGAGAGTTCCAATAAGGACGTTGTCGATGATCGTCCAATCCCACTTGGAGATACTGATTTAATACGTGCGTCCATTTGTGGACATTGGGTTCCATGAAAGCCGGAGGTGGTTGGCTGGATGGATTTTCAAATTTGGTATCGTGGCGTGGGACAAATTGCATGGTCCGGACATCGACGGCTCCGTGACAAAATAGAGTATGACCGATAATGACAGCCACCTGGGCGCATTCCAAGTATTGTCGTAGAGAGCCATGTTCATCCTTAATCTCATCCAAGAAGGATTGCAAGACTTGGTCGTCTGTGATGACGTCATTGTTTGTGAGAATGGTCAATTCTTGTCGACGAAATTCAAAGGTGTTGGGACATCCAAGGGTATGTTGGAGCATGTAATGCAGTCGATTGACTCGCGTATTGAGATCTTCCAGAGTAGTTTTTGTTGTGGATTGCTGTTCTTTTTGTTGCAGTTTTTCTTGCAAGAATTCCAACAAGGAGGGAGCACTGGGATCCCAATGCGGCGGTGGAATGTCCCGAATGGGTCGTTCCATGTCATCTTGTGCCAATTCGGCCGTCAAGCGAAGTTTGTTCAAATCGCGATTGCCGACCAACAAAACGACGCGATCGGGATACCGCCGTTTCAAATCGACCAATGCCCGGACCAATCGAATGTCACCAGGTCCCTTGTCGACGGCATCGCCGCCAAAGACAAAATAGCAATCCGACAGCAACTCTAATTTCAGCGGCGTGTGTTGTCGAATCGTCAAGACTTTGGAGTGTTCCACATAGCGCAAAAAGTAGTCCAGATTCCCTTCCACATCGGTCACATAGCCCAACCGAAAGGGTGATTCTTGAGCTGCATCTGGTGATGAGGAGGACATCATGATACTACCGACTCGTGATGTAGCAGGACGAACAAACGCCTCCACGGAACCAACACAGTTCAGACACAATCCCACCAGTAACACCAGTAATACGTTCGACCGAGAGAAACAGCAAAGAAGACTGAAAGATAGCAGTGGATGATGAGTTTGTTGCCGCTGCAAACCACCAACACCTGATTTCCTCAACGTCATGGCCGAAGAAGAAGAGTGGGAGAGCCAAGAAAAAAGGAAAGGGCGAAAAAATGAAGCCAACAGGCTTGTGACGTCAGTGCAGCCTCGAAGATTTCCGTACCGGTACGGACCTCGACACCAAGAAAGTGAAGGTGGTCACAAGTTTTAGATTGTCACTCACTCAACTAGACTACTAGCTAGCCAGCTACTACCGGTAGCCAGAGGTTGGTGGATAGAGCCACAAAGTTTTGCGGAAGTAGACTCTAGCTACCGTAGCTAGATAACCAGATGTCAATGACGCCTCATCCTTGAGTCTTTGACTACTTGTATGCATAGGTACCAGAAGAAGAAACTGCACCTGTGTTTCCTTCGAACACTCCTGTTTATTGCAGTGAAAGTTCGCCGATCCCGAGCACTTGGAGAAGCACCAGGAAGCGTCATACATTATTAATATTATTTGTTCTCAAGCGTCACCCACAATGCCAAACAAGTTTGATGTCAAGCAAAGTGAAGGTTTCATTATTTCTACTACTACCCTAATCTCTCACAGAAGTCAATGACACCATCCATGCAAAACTTCACACGGCAACAATTGCCACGGCACTTGTATGCGTTTGGCACTGGCGTCGCTGCCGGTGGTGTTGTAGGAACCGTGGGGTGGGGAGGTGCTCAAGTGCTCATTCCCAGCTTGACCGCCAATCCACTGTCTTTGGCAGGATATACCCAGCTCACTGCCACGGGCATTTCCTTGACGTCTCTTTCCACTTCCGTCATGACGGGGGGATACAAATTCTGGAATTCGGATCATGTTAATGTCCCCGTGGCTCTCATGGTGGGAATCCCCGCCGTACTGTCCGCTCGTGTCGGTACGCTGTGGGCCAAAAAATTGTCGGGGGATGCCTTGGCATTGATATTCAACTCTTGCAGTATTGTACTGCTCCCCACTCATTTTTGGATTCAAGAACGAGCCAAGAAGCGACGACAACAACAATTAATTCAAGAAGAGGACAACAAACCACCACAAGAGTCAACAACAACAATAACAACAAAGACTAACGATCCACCCAATGTTGTTTATGACAACACCAATGACCTACTACTAAAACAATCCCAACAACAACAACAGTCGGATTATCACTACGAAAAGTTCCTTCATTTTGCTTCCTTTGGCCTGTTCCAAGGCATCCTCAGTAGCGTGATGGGAGTGGGAGGATTGCCCTTGAGCATGTCCTACTTGACCGAAATGACAACTCTCGATCATCATACCGTGCAAGGAACCGCCATGTGCGCCGTCATTCCTTCCATCCTCACATCGGCGGTGTCACGCATGCATGCCATTCCCCTTGTCACGGCAGGAGTTGTCTGTGGCGGTGCCATTCTGGGCGGCTATGGAGGCGCCCAGTTGGCACTGGCATTGGATAGTGAACAATTGCGGCAATTGTACATGACATCCTTGGTGCTCTTTGGAGGACGATCCATGCTGGGAGCTGCCGCCAACTTGAGACGACTCTTGTTTTTCAAGTAAGAGAGAGGGAGAATAATAATGCTGGTGGGATCGTTCCCAGCAGATGCAATAGTGCAAGATGCGGACACTGAATTTGTGTTTGATCAACGTGTGAATCCAGCCGTCACAAAGACTTGCCTTGCGGTTGTGTTCTTGTGGCTAGTAGTAGTAGCCACGAGTCCCATTTCGGTTGCAAGGGCTTGTGTCGTCGCAACAATTGGTTCCTCCCAATCTTGTTCAACTTCCAAGTAAAAGAGAATATTGCGGTGCAACGGGACCATGTTGCAGCACAAAGTTGTCCTCTCAGAGCATCTTCGAGATGGATTCCGTGGCCAGACTGGAGCCATTTTGAAAGAATGATCAAGGCACCTAGACTAGCCAGGTACAGTAGGTGCGTCTCATAGACATTACGGGGGAGAGTTTGTTTGGGGGGAGACTTGGATGTTTTGAGAGCCCGGAGGAGCTCAAGAGACATCAATTCCGAGCAAACATACCTTCTAAAGGCTGGGATTAGAGATAGTTTCAGTTTCACCCTGGTGAAGGGGATCGATTCATTCTGTTGCTCCCACCCAGCTAAGCTAGGCACAACTCTTCACGAAGTTTCTACTATTCGAGTTGCACTACTAAGCCATGTCGATCAACTGGCGACTAGGTATCGATAGATGAGCAATCTAACCAGCTTGCTAGTTGAATGGAACCTGCAAAACGGAACTAGCTGAAGCAACCCACGGAAAATCCATCCTTCCAGATGTCAGTCAGCATGCCATTACTAATAGTTTGTTGGAAGAAGCTTTTGTTTATGGAGGAAAGAGTTAATTGATGCGTCCTACGGTACTACCAGTAGTCTAAGCCTTCACAGCAAACTTGAGTTTGGGGAATGCGGCTTCCTTGCAACGTTGTCTGTGTGTCTTCTTGGACTTTTCTGCCTTGGTAAGAGCACGACGCATAGCTCGGGTCTTCTTTGCTCGGATATCCTTGGGCATGTACTTGGCTCCTGCCGATGCCTTCTTGAGCCCTTCCTTGACTTTGGTGTTGTGGACGGTCAACACCCGAGCGATCGACTTGCGGACCCCCTTGATCTTGGCAATCTTGGAGACTGCACCGTCAGTCACCTTGGCAACGTGCAGCTCGGAGAGCTCTTTTCTCAAGTCACCCAGAGTCTTGAGCAACTCATCCTTTTCCATATTACGGAGCTCGTATGCTTTCACCATCTTGACTACTGTTTTTCTTCAGACTATTGATCAAATAAAACCTAAGGGGTAGAAACGGATAACGAGTTGAGTATAATCACACGGCCTGCCACTACAGACAAAATCAGTATCCTAGCTAAATAGGACTACTAGTAAACGGAGATGAAAACACAGCGATCGATGTTACCGCCATCGTCAACGCACCTTCCTTGTTATCGACCCTTTGTATTCAAGTCGGTGCGAGAAGCACCATCCAAGCTTTTAGTAAGCGGCATGAGGTAGACTGAAGTGGTTATGAGCTCGAATAACGTCTACTGTAAGGAAGCACACTTCCTCCTTTCTTCCTCGACTGCCTCGCGCGTGGGCGTACGATGGGCAAAGATTCAATCGATTCTATTGCAGGTACCACCGGTACCGGTTGTATCGGTCCCGGAAAACGGCACATGTACCGGTACAGGGTACATGTATGTACAACTATTCTTGCCCACTTGATTGCCACAGCAAAAGTGAGTCTGGCGGATGTGAAAGATAGATGGTCGCCGCTGGCCAAGACTACTGGTACCTTCTCGTGGAGCTTCAGTGGCGTCAAGGTCGCTTCTTCGCCGTCTCATTCCACAAAGACGATGTACCTGGACCACGCTGAGAGATCGTAGTTCGCTCCCTCGCTTGCTTCTTGGTCCCCTGGACCACCAAGGGGTAGCCTACCGCTACGCATGATACACCTGGACCGGTAGTTACGCAGCCAAACTGGCTGGCCCAAGTTGCGCTAGCTGCTGCAGTCCGACTAAACGAGGACTAAGCAACAAGCCGCCAGACTAGACGACTAAAAGAAGAAGCAAAAAGCCGCCAGACTAAACGACTACTAAACGCATCCAGCCAGCAAAAAGTTTCGTAGTTGCAGTTTTTCTTGTTGGCTCGCCTGCAATGAACTTCTTGACCTGTGGTGATGCATGCCACTGGTATTAACGTAGCAACGGCCTCCACGCCTTTACGGCATTATTGTGCACACCATTGGTCAGGTAGTCTACTGGTATTACTAACGCAGCACAGTGGCTCTCACTCAAAGGAAGCGAAAAAGTCGTCTCTTACCGCCAAATGAACAAAGCAATTTCGCCCAGAAAACTTACAGGGTTTCAGTTTTTTGCATAGCGACGAGACAGTTGAATCGATCGTCGCTTCGTAGCATTCCTTCTTTTGCAGTTTTTCCGCTCACTCCGGGGTAGCTACGTATTGCATTTTGCCTTGGCTGGCTTCATCGAAGACTCCCCACTGGTATCAACGTACTGTAACCTTCAGCCCTTTCGAAAAGCGGATTTACTCAGCAGGCAGGCATTGTAATGTATGTGGTGGGACTATGGTTTGTTGTGCTGTTTATGTTGCCTCCAGCCCACTGGTATCAACAAAAAAGTGATGTCCATCATTCTACTACTCTAGTACCACTGCCAGAGCAAGATGTTGCCTTGGTTACGACAGTTGCGAACCCCTTTTATTCAAGCTGCAAGTTCCTGGTCCATCTCGCAATCCGTCATCTCCTGGTGCAAGTCTACCAGCTATAGTTTAAGCCCAGCGGTGGTTGCTTTAGAAGAATGGCAGCTTCAGTTGCCGAGCCTACCTACTATAGGAGCCAGATAGATGGATGTAGAAGTTATTTTGCTTGCTTAGTACCAGTACTAGTACCACCACAAACGCCGCCCGCCACCAGCAAACCCAGCAGCTGCGTTTTTCGCTCCTTGTCCAACTGTCACTCATATCTACCGGTATCTACCAACAGTTACTCTGCTCGCATTCCACAGTGGTGGTTTCGCTGGTATGAACCAAGTAGTAATCGTCCTTGGACAGCGGAAACAACGGGACAGGAAACAATGAGACACGGCCCAGTAAGAAGGCAGGTGGCAGAGGTGGCGATTGTGACTGGTCCGTGGTATTCGGTACTCGAGTTTAAAGTTGCTAGCTAGCAGTAGTCTAGTAGCTAGTAGTACTGTAGCATCATAGAGATGGCGGCGCGTTGCAACTTGCGGAAAGTCGTGGTTTAGCTGTGTCCATCTTCGAAGCCGAAGCACAAGAAGATTGCGTTGCTTTCTGGGATGTGGCAAAACAGTGTTTTGTGCTGCTTGTGTCAAAGCTGTGCTTGCTCAGAGAACCTTTCCCACGGGGGTATGGGGAAACAATGGTATACCACCACACAGATGAGGCCACAACCACATTTATTTTTTTAAAAGTTACGTGCAGCATCTGCACCTACGAGCCCACGGACTTGTTACTATAGACATTACTGTATTTTAGCTAAGTACGATTACGCTTAATAAAGCATAACTACGCATTTTGAAGCACATTGTGTAACTGAGTGGATAAGTCGCCCCATACCCCGAGTTCATGGCACAAGCACACAAAGCTTCTGCTGTGTCCCTGACTCCGGACCGCTACCGCAGTGCTGTGTCGCCTCTACACGGAACAACCGAACCCACGTACAAGCAGGCACTGGTCCTTTCTTGAAGTATGAGAAACCCTTAATAATAAGATAACTAAATGATGAAACGCTCTTGGATTTGCCTGTTGCAATTGGAACTGGAAGCTCGGGACTACTACTGGTACGCGTACTTAGTAGGCATAGCGGTACATCATAGGATGCATAACGGAGGATTTGCCTGATGGCTTAGAAGCTGGAAGCTCGAGACTTTCCTACTACCTCTAGCTAGTAGGCATACATCATAGGATAAGTAGGAGTTGTCTGGTGGCATAGAAACTGGGAAAATTACATTGTGAATGGCTAAGAACTGCCTCTGTCAATAGAAGATATCGAAGAGTCGGCTCAAAGTTCTTCAAAAGAATCAACACCAAAAAGCCAATATCCCGCCCCAGGAAAGAGAACTGAATGCATTTGGCTTGCCTGGAGAGGATGGTCTCACAGCTCTACGTTCCCACCTAATCAGAAGTACTGGTACCATACACTGTCTGATGGGTGCAGTTGATCAGCCGCTGGCTGGTGCAACATACCGGTAGCCAGGTCAAGTTTGGATTGTATCGGGTACGGCCATGGGCGATTACTCAGCACCTGGCTGTATTCTTAGCTTTCTTATATAAAAGGTAGAAACCCCTACGGCATTATATTTGAGCCGCGAGCGCAAGGTTGGGTCATAGATTGGGTCATCCTAGGCCCTTTGGTCATACTAAAAATTGTACTAGTAGTCTTATTTGAAAATGTGTGTAGAGAAGCTGTCAGACACGCAGAGACCAGGTTGAAAAGCCCTTGATGACCCAGAAGTGGTAATCATTCTGCTTCGTTTTTACCACTGACAACGTCGGCTTTCCCTGACTGTGGGATTGACTGTATAATCCGTTGCATTGCTGAGCTAGTGCTGTTTCTTCACTTAGGGCAATGCAATCTGAGGATCAACATTGAAGCAGCGAGGATTCTCAGGCCTGACGGCAATTGCACGTGCCAGTGCGTTCGCTGTGCTTTATACGAAGGAAACCTGAGTACTACATACTTATAGACATAGTACTCTTTTTTCAATCAAGTTTTTTACTCGCCGCTCTGCATACTGGTACCAGGTAGTTGGGAACTTGAATAACCAGTGGCGTCAACATGTTGGGTAAAGTCTCAGTGACCTCAAAAGGCCAAGAGTCAAGTGGAAAACAAAGGTCGCGAAACGACAAAAACGATACGACCACAGCAACTTGGTCAAAAACACATCAGAACCGATTTTCAGCGCTGCTTACCAGTCTAATACAGTACCAAACCTGCATTGATCCTCCCACTTCATTCAACTGTTCGCATAAAAATTCTGCTTCCGAGTCTGATTGACATAAGCTTCATCGTTACTAGTACCGTACCAGAACAAACCCTCACAATCACAATGGAACCTACCGGTAACCAGAACTCCAACACACCAGAACAAGACACCATGACGCCCAGACAAGACGACGAAGGTGCTGGCGCCGAGCAGCCCTTTCAGCCACAGAGGCCTGCTTCTCCCAGCGCTTCTGATGAAGCTATCCCGCCTCCTTCTCTCAGTCGCAACAGCACTAGTAGCGGCATTTCTGTGGCGGTGGGATTGCCCGTGTTTCCCTGCGAACAAGATGATGCTGCCATGGCTGCAGCCATGGCTGCAGCACTCCCTCTGGACCTCCAAATCTCTCCTGATGACTGCCTCCCACTCGATCTCGACCAAGACGAGCTAGCCTTGAACCTTGCCGGGGCTGCCTTGTTTGCTTCTTATGAAGACTACATTCCACCCGTTGACGCGTTTCCTACTGCTAGTACCGACGAGGACTACAACATGTACTATGATGTTTACCAGGAACAGCAGCAACAAGAGCAACTTCAGCCACACTCATCAACGTACAAGGACGATTTGGCATGGAACCTTATGAACTCTCCTTACTACGAAGGCTGCGACAGTCCACCCCCCGAGAATGACGAACTGGCGTGGAATCTGATTCGACAGCTCCGCATGGTCCTCTTGACATTTTCCAGTTCACAAGAACGAGAAGGCACACGATCCTACTATCGCATGACACCGGCCGAAGTCAATGACGAAATGTTTCTAACACGGGCGCGGTCGTTGGTCCAGCTGTGCCGGGAACGAGGTGGACACGCCAAGGTCGATTTGGCCGTGCGGCACAAGGGCGCATCCATCACGGAAGGATGGGTCTATGTCCGTCACATGTTGACGAGCAGTCGTCAACCTGGACTCAAGGTACGAGCACCGGGGGCATTGTCCTTGATCAAGTTCACGGTCCATCAAGAAGACCAGGATACCTGGGATTTGATGCAGTGTCTCCAAGATACCATGGAACAGATTCAAGCCGTCATGGTCGAAGCTCTGTCGGATCATTGCGAGGTGCTTCCTCTCATGAGCACGGAAGAACTCTGGACGCGAGGAAACCAAATGCCAGAGGTATCCGGTGCCGGGTCCGAACTTCGTCTGGCAGTGGAACGAGCGGAATGCTGGAAGAGGAATCGTCTAGAAGAAGAAGACGAAGTCCTGTCCGAAGAAGAAGAAGAAGAGGATGACCTCAAGGACAGCCGCAAGATGGACGAGGACAGTCACGCGGAAACAGCTGACAATACCTCTTACTTTGCAGACTCGGACGAGAGTGTCGATTTCGAAGAAGAAGAAGAAGTGAGCTGTGCTTTGACAGCCGTCAGCGATGACTCCTCGGAAGAACCATGGAGCCCCAAGAAGGAAGAGCCAAAGGCCATGAAGGATGAGGAGGGTGTGCCAAGGCGGGTTGTTGCACCAGCGCCCTCCACAAGGCGTCGCCGCCAAAGATTCAGCATTGTCAATGCCGTTTGCAATGCTTCCCTTCGATTCGCCCGCGCTGTGGGGTATGCGAGACGGACCCAAGCAAGGTCGTCCCGACGACTGGACTACAACTCAAAGGGCGATCTGTGCTAACTTAAAAAGCTTTGTTGAGCAACACACTATTTTAGACCCTTACTACTGGCCTGATGGGGTGATGGCCAGTGACTAGACTAGCTAGCAACCGCTATAAGATAAAGATATCATCATCATTAAAGCAAACAATGCAGTCATACAATGCCAACATTGTCTCCACCGCCTGGTACCGGTACGGTACTTCCAGCCTGGGGAACAGTAGGTTCGGCAACCAATTATCCAGAGAGCTCCGAATAGATAGATTGGATCATTCCAGGAAAGAATGCGACTTGCTTGGAGGGGCCAGCGGTGCAACGAGTCCAATTTGCAAAAAGCAAGATTGGAGCTATTTTTACCGGTATGCAGGGCACTCATCAGCCACACAGTACGGCACATCGTGGAGGTAATCGGTATGTACCATCGCAAGTTACACAATCGCAAGCTAGCTTCTGTAGCTGGTTGCCAAAGAAGCCATGCCTTCTCTGCAGAAGAAAGAAGCAATCAAACATGAGTTTCTGCTCTTCAGGCTTTATCAAATGCAGCAAAAGGGTACTGGTACTCAAGAATTCGCGTCACAGAGATACACGGGCGCCGAGCTGTAACCGTGCAGGTTGCTGAAATGAGTGGCGATCATCTCAGTTGCGGTGACTGAAAGCTCCCCCTTCATGTTGATGGCTACTCCGATGGGATGCAATACTGAGCAAAGAATCCTGGTCTGCAGTACTATTGACAGTAGCTAGTTAATAAGTCACATTTGTATAGTGGCCTCGAACTCAACTCAGTCAGGTTGAAACAAGTTCACTTATACAATCACAACCCCAGCGATGTAGCTTTGACGACATGCTTTCAGCTTTTCCTGGTAAAATAATTGTATCTCTATAGTGTTGTGACATTCCTTGTAGACCGGGTGAGCTCAGTCACAGGATTGCCACTTCAATTCTTTCTTCTTGGCGTGGCAACAGTTCTTCTTTTCTGTGTATTATTGGAACCATTACTCACAGTTCCTAGGCTGCTTTCTTTTTCCATCACAGATCAGGTCCTTTGGTGGTGGCAGGTTATCGTTTCCTTTCTCCCTTGTTAGCCCTATTTCGTCTTTCTTCCTTTAGTTTGATTTTGTCTTGTTTCGCTTGTTTGGTTTTCTGCTGTTCTTCCTTTTTCGTTTGCCCTTTTACTTTGCGCAGTTCTTTGGCATTTTCGAGACTTTGTTGTTTGGCGGCTTCCTTGTTGACATTTACATGGGCAAGCTCCCCTTCTTCATCCTCATCCTCGTCGTCGTTTTCATAGGCGAATCGAGCCAACATGGCTTTCTTGGCTTCCTCGTCAATGACGGAGCTCTTCTTCTCTTCCTTTTTTGTTTCTTCCGGTATAGCGGCAGCCGCTATTTTGGCAGCTTCTAGTCTCTGGGCGTCTTCTTCCGCCTTTTGGTTTTTTGCCTCCACCAAATGCGTTCGATACCGATCCTGCAACTCTTTCTTGAGTGCTTGCCATGCATCCACATCATCACTATGAGATTCCGAACTGGCTTGCAGTAATTCCAATACGCCATCCCACTCTTCGTCATCTGCTCCTGAGTTGTTGTCATCGACATCATTGCCGTCCAATAAAGCCTCGTCGTCCGCGGGAAGCAGACCCAATAGATACGGCCCGTACGTCTCAGGATCCAATCCCAATGTAGGCAATTTCTCTCCCAGGAAGGAAGCCAAGAAATGATCTTCGTCCATTATTGCTTTAGTCTAAGTAGTCTAATTATGAAGGTGGTGACTATTATGATGTATCTATCTGTAGATGGAACGATCTGGTTTCCTTTACAAACAGTGTTGGCTCGTGGGGTTGTGTGTTTTGTGGTTGGTTGTGGTTTGTTTGGCGCACTGGTACACGACTTTTGGCGTCATTAGTCATACGTACTTTGCGGCTTTCTTGCGTGTTTCATATTTGATCCAGAGCGGGACAAAGCTTAGCTCTAACGTTAAACTCTTTTTATAAGCCAGTGTAGCTATGTAAGCTACCAAGGCAGCTTTAATTTTGGCAACAAAAATTGCAAAGCTTCCACAAACTAACTCGAGTTGCTGTGGAAGGGTAATACATGTATGATACATTCATTCAAACCATGAAGGGTGACATGAGGGAACCATCTTCTTTGGCGCCAACCTGTCCTGCAGTGCCAGTATCTTACTAAGGTATTTGTGGTTACCGGTATGGCTGGAGTTGTCTATTTTTTTTAAATAGAATCGAGTCGGAATCTACCATTCAACCGCATTTCCATGCATGATGGGCCAACCTTAGTTTTGGATGCATGCGATGGAGTGACGAGTACGTACAAATTTTCCAGGCAAGTCAAGATCAACTAACGGTGGCTGCATGGGAACAAGTTTATGCTGACTTGGAGAGGGCAGCTGGCTCCTTACTGGAAATGATGACCTGTGATCGTGGACAAGGATTGTGCAGAAGTACATTGGTTGGGGCAGTCGGATTCTTGCACGATAGATAGGCAAGAAAAGCAGGTGAACTTTACTGTGGTCGTTGGTTGGGGAGGCGAACTTTTTGCACGGTCTACTAGGCAAGATACAAGTGAACTCTTAGTATGATCCCTACTCCAGTATTGTACCGGGTCTGATGGTGTTGGATAAAGGCAACATGGTTGCTCACTACGGGGAAACAACTAGCTAGAGTCTGTAGCCAAGCTCGGACCAGCCAGGCTTCGCGGAGGAACGCAGGTGACCAACCCGCAAACCTGCTGCTGGGTTCAACTGATAGTAGTCAGTTTTTAGTTCGCTCGGATAGAAGTTTCAAGTAGTAGATACTTTTAGTTCATCTTTGGTTTATTATTAATTTTACGGAGCGTTCTTGGTGTGATGAGCCATGGTTGAGCTTGTAAGTGAGCTATCCTGCACTGCTTCCTTCGTTCCAGCCTGTGGTGCTTCTGTTCATACTCGCTCCATTCCAGGCAACTGTTTATGAATGAATTGTACACGTTCAACGAAACGAATTGCATTGAATCGATGGGCCCGGTAGCCGGCACTCGGGCCACAAATGCGGCCCCTCTCCTGGGCTTGTTGCTTGCTTGCTGTACTGTAATACTGATGAGATGCTTGCGATGCTTGGCTCATCCCGAGAACAGTTTCCGTTTGCCATCCGACCGCAGCAAACAGGGCGAGTGAGCCGATGTAAGCGTGCTGTCGTCTCCCTTGCTGCTGGTATCGGTTGTGGTTTGGTCCGACACGGTCGAAGCACTATCTTGACGAGTAGGGTACATGGCGTTTCGATCCAACAACCGGCTGCGACTCATCAGTTTGGTCTTGGAGATGGATTCCCGGCGTCCTGGTTTGACCGGTGGCATCTCACTGCCCGGTCTTCGTACCGGACTCAAGTCGAGGCGCTTGCCAGTAGTACCCACATCGTTGTGGTTATTGTTGTGAGACAGCATGAACCGCGTCGAGTGGATCTTTTGCGAGCTAATGGAATCTCTTCGTTTGGGACACACGGGTTTGTGATCCGACCCCGAGCTGTCAAAGAGAGCTTCTTCGTCTTCTACCACGGTACCGAATTGTTGAGAGTAGCCCATGAAGGACTCGGAAAAGAACGAGTCGCCGAGATCGGAAATGGTCAAACTGGATACGGAACTGCCGGGTACGGATCCTCTTCTGCCGCCAGCAGCGGGCGTGACGAGATCACCCCAAAAGATGCTGTTGCGGGCACTGGGGCGACGAGCCGCCGCCACCATGGGGATATCACTGTTGTCTTCGTCTGCTGCTGGTCGAGCATAGGGCAGCTCGGGCTGTCGTCCATCCAAGGCATGGTCGCTGCCAAAGTTCTTGAGCTCGGCGTCTTTCCGCTGTTCTTTCTCGGCTTGCTTCACAGAGTCGGGTTCTCCTTGGTTCGATGCGTTGCGGTCCATCATCTTCTACTCAGAGTTAGTGAAAGAAAAAGTTGGGTAGCTGCTGAAAAAGTAAGTGTGAGAACGTTGGGATTGTGGGAAGTTGGTATACAAAGTGTGAGCTGGATTGTTCGAGATGTGTTTCTCCATGTGAATGAAGAGAACTTACCAATCGAGGAGGTAGAAAGCTCTTCGGATCTTCGGATCAGGCTAAATGAACCCCTCCAACCTTGCTTGGAAGTCCAGCGACGCAACTATTCAGCCCTTAGAAACCGGTTCGGGCATCCCCAGCAGCTCACAACCCTCCACAAGATACTACAATAGCCAGCTCACCTGGCATAGTGTACCGTAGTGGCCGCTACCCACCACCACCCAAGCAACCGAAAACTGATGCAAAATACCTAATAACCTTGTGAAGAGCATCCGATAAACCCAAAAATTAGGCCGATTCAAAGTGTCTATAGTAGGGCTTTAGTGGGTCTTTAGTACATGTACTAGTAGGGCTTTACTGAGTATTGCACAACTTACCACCGACTCAATGCAATTGACAACGACTTTACAACAGCTAGAAAAGAATTAAAGGAGAGTGCTACAAGAAACATCATTCAATAGTCAACTAAACTCCAATTGAAAGTACAGTTGACTCTATGCCTTAGGGTAGATTGCCATTGTCATTCTACAACAGCCAAGAGCATTTAATAAAGCCACTGAAAAATGACTGTTATTCTTTTAAAATTGGAGAAAGTAGCTGAGAAGATGAGAAGATACTCCAGAGAAGAGGGTCTTTTGATTCACCGTATACCCCGGTGTGGCAATTGTCCCTTGGTAATTATAGAATTTTGGCTACTGTCCCCAGACACTCTCTGTTCACCCGTTCAAACGATTCAATTGATGGATTCAAGACGTTGTGGACGTTCCACTCGGGAACAATCCAGTCTAGGTACGTACCATTGCGGGACCGCACTGATATGCCACAGTGGGAGCTCCTCCGTAGCTTGATCTGTTGTCCTGCGTCCACCCCCACAAGCTGACACTCTGTAGATACAATTCTAGGCCCTCACTCTATTGATCTCTGCCCCTGCATACATCATGGAGATTATTGACTGCAAAAAGCTTGCGCTTTGTGCTGGGACTTTGGCCAAGAAAGCATAGCATGCTCCTGATCCGAACATCCCTCCCAAGCAAGAGCCTACCAACCACCAACAGCGACGTTTTATTGGATTTGAGCAACCCCTTTAACAACCTTTGCCCTGAAAAAATCACCACCTCAGTCTGGGACGTGGTTGTTGGGCTGATGGAGCGCCTGTAAAGTAGAAATCTAGGAACTGTCTAGGCCTACTTGACAAGAGTGAATGATGCCTTGAAGCCTATCTATGATCTATGATTGCTACATGACATTGTTTGGGAGCCATGGCGAGCCTTATGCTTTGTGCTCCCTCCTGCGCTGAAGTGCCCGCTGGGACTTGAGAGGCTCGACTCAAAATAAATGATTCCAGCACGGTGAAAGATAGAATATCCAAAACAAACTAACTGAAGCCTCCCACCTCAAGCCTGATGGCTGCTGGGGCCTCCGAAGGGACTTGGCTCCACAAGGATGCATTCGAAATGAAAATAATACAACCCTGTGTAGCCCGTGTCCCGGTAGCGGTAAACTATAGCCCACAAAGCTAGCTAGCTAGATGGCCGACCGAAACGCCTGTTTTGCTCTATCGCCCTCTTCCCCTAACGGCGACTGTGAAGACCCCTAGCTTGATCCGAAGATCAAAAACGAAGGGTGGAAATGAGAACAGAGCGGTCTCGTGGTCTCTTAGTTTCACCTAACTTGGACCGAGAGTCAGAATGGCTGCAAGATTGATGGCAGAGCAAGAAAGCTCCACGAGCGGCTATCTTAGCCCCTTCAATGCACCCCCATTCTCCTTTGAAGCTGCAAACTGCGACTGGATGGGATACGCTGGGACCGCAATGTCTCAACCCTTCGAGTTTGATGCATTGCTCTCAGGACTGCATAGCTGGCTGGGTCGCTCCGAGCAGAGAAAGGGAGCTGAAAGGGGCAGCTTGGAAACGTGCTGCAGTTGATATGCTATTGGCTGGATCCTCTTCATCTTTCTCTGCTGAGAGGATGGAGGAACCTGCGCCCTCGTTGTGATGGCGCTCGAGAAGATCCAGAGCATGGGATTCAATTGCACAAAGAGCATCCAGCAAAGATCAAACAGTACCCAAGCAAGCAACTCAGTGTTCGTAGATGACGAATCTCCTGTATGTATTGGTACTTTGATTTCATTGCTTCTTCGGCCTTTGTCTTCTACGCAAGTACTTGGTTGGTTTACTGCTCTACCTTCCATTATGGTTCCTCTTATCAACCCTGACCATTGGGCCTCGCCAGTCATATTCAGGTTGGGTAAGGTCCACTACTGACAACTAGTCTAGTGCCACCGTCATGCGTGGACGTAGTAGACGTACTTTGCTTTATTCGCGATCCACCATAGTTTTCTACTTGGTTGGTTTTACTCTACTTCTCTAGCTTCCTGTACCGGTGATGATTAGGCCTATATGTCCATGTATGGGTCCACAAATTTCTCTTACATCATGTCCATTTCAACCCTCATCATTGGGTTGCGCCAGTCGTATCCAGGCTGGGAAAGATCTCCTACTCCAAAGAAACCACGGTGCACATGCACAAAACCCTCTCCATTGCCAGACCTAGCATTGCCCGTAACAGCATCGCAAGCAGGTCCTGGAATACTACTGCAAAGTTCATTGTTTTCTTCCGATCCACTGTCGTATCCAGGGCCATCGAGGATGGCCTTGGGTTCCAACTTGACTCCATTCAGGGCCACAAAGCAGTCATTGCTATTGACCGCCATGGCGGCAATGGTCAGATAGGGATACTCCAAGTCATGGGGGACCACGAACTCTAGTGTTTCACCTCCAAAGTAGGGAGCTCCTTCGTTTTGAATTCCAACATATCCCGCATGGAAAGATGCATTGTACGCTTGAACCAATGGGGTAGGGTCTCCATCTTCGGCCAGGCGGGCCAACTCCTCACTGGCTTGCATACCAACGGTGAAGATGGGAGTCACGTCAGCATGGTGTGTCATGACAAGCAAAGAAGGCTCCAAAGGGTTGTTGATAGGCTTGGTTGGTGACTCGAATAGTGATGAATTTGCCCTCTGCCAATTCCTCTTCGGCTGTTTGTTCGTCTTGACGAGGTTCTGTGACTTTTTCGTCCTCAAGGGTTTGCCTGCTGTAGAGTGTTCGACGGAGACCCGAAGAAGTACTAGAGAAAGTACTATCGATCGCATGAACGGCCGAACTTGCGGCAAGAGTTGAGATGATGAGGTTGAAGAGCTTCATGGTTATCTGTTAGTTTGAAAGTGGTTTGTGTACTTTTGGTTTGTGTTTTGGTGTTTTGGTTTTGTAAGCAGGATTGTTCGTTTCGATGCCGAGGATGCAGTTAGTTGCTGTGGGAGAAGAACCTTGAATTGAATTGAATTGCACATCGTCTTTCAAGAGACGAAAGCCCCCTTTGCCCTGCTCAAGCTCATCCAGTGCCCATCCTAGTAGCATGCAACTAGTTGCAAATGGAGATCAAAGCGAGGCACTGGCAATCTCTTTCCTTGTCGCTCGTGGAAGTGCGCTTTTACGTAGAGTGTGATTGGTGGGTGCGCCCACCTTCCCAGACAGGGAATGAAGAGATTCTACAGAACGGAGAGTATGAGTTAACAGGGAGCCGACCATAAGGGAGACTGACGGACAGGAATCCTGGAGAGCAGCCAACTCATCCAAGGATGAGGTGTGTGGACCGAAGTGTCGGGTGCACAGGTGGTGTGCTCCTATGTGGTGTTGATGACTAGCTGAAGGACTACTAATCTGGCGGCTACAAATCAGGTATCACTTTTTCTGAAACCAGAGTTGCAGCCGCCCTGACACCAATTTTCCTTTTTACTGGGGGTAATTAGTGTTGAGCGTCCGCAACCTGAAAAAGTATCGCTGCCCGAGCAGTGACCGCCTCCCTCGCCCAAACCTTACTCTGAAGAGAAAGTAAGCATGGACTTAGCATTTTGATGACGCCAGCGGCAGGGTTCACACCAGTGTGACTTCCTTAGGGTCCGGTGTCCGGAGATGGCGGCGTTTTGCAACCGGCCGATGGTGTGCAAGGAGTTTTTGTCGAGCCCGATTCGTCTTGAAAGGTACCGTCTATGTTTGTGTCAGTGACCGGTGTTATCGAGTGTAACCGATCCGGTCACCGAGGAGCTATCGGTCCAACCAGGTGGGTACTCCTTTGAAGGGTGACTTAGACGCAATGACAAATACTTTACGGAATCGCTAGTACCGCCTTGTACCCCCACGAAACGGCCGCTCTTCAAGCAAAAGACCGAGCTGAGGACAAGCACGAGCTCCATGAAGGACCCGCCGAACGCTCTCCCGGGATCAACGGTGGAAACCGTGAACATAGGATCGCCTGCGCAAACGCGCCTTCTTCGAGTGGAAGCACCAAGGGGCGTGGAGGGTCGATCTCCTCGAAGGCGAAAGAAGCCCCCCGCCTCGCCGGGACCTTCTCGAGCGATACCGGCGGATCTCTCAGCACCCCCATCCCGGGTAATCAGAAGATCGCTGCCCCCAAGAAAACACCCGAAGGCTCGCTGAACGAGGCAGAGAGAGACCGAAAGATCTCGGAGCTGGCCGCCCAGGAACGAGATAAGGAGGAAGTCGCCCAAGGAGAAAAGCGGCTCGCGGCAGCAAACTATGAGCAAGAACGAGCCAATGAGATGGCCGTCCAGAAACTCCTACGTGAACATGAGGCAGCCAGAGCCCAACGAGCAAAAGCATCTGAAACCGCCAAATACAAGCAGGAAACAGAGGTTCAGCGACGCGTTGAACAAGCCCTGGCCGCCAAGGCTCGCCAGGAAGGACTCCGAGATAGGCACCCCGGGACAGGCGACGGTACGGCTCCGCCGACACCCAGCTTCTCCCCTGGCGTACCATCCAGTCCAACCAGCCGCTTTTGGTACGGGTATGTGAACGGGGTCAATGGAGCATACGGAGTGGGCAACGAACAGCGCAAGATGAAGCCATTCGCCAGCGATACGATTCTTGCCTGTGCCCGCAGCACGGCTGCCGAAGCCTGGGAGTGGGTGAGTGCCGAAATCGCCCATACAGCTGACAACGCCCCGGCCCCCGACAAGATCCGGCGATGGGAAGACCCTGAGCCCGCCAATAGACGAGTGGTACGCAATCCAGCCGGCCCACCCACCATGCTCGCCGGAAAGGACCCGTCTACCAAGGACAAGAATGCGATCTACAACATCCCAATCAAGGAGGGCACGGCAGTTCTCGCGAAAGGTTTGGACCCAGAAGGAATCAGTCCTCGAACGGCCAAAACAATTGGCAACACCTTGCTAGATGTATTGTCCCTACCATGTAAGACACAGACCGGTGAACGCGACGATGTAACCAGCGAAATCAGAAATTCTCTCTTCGCCGCCGTCAGTCGCCAAACTGTCGACGACGAGGAGGTTCCCCCCGACCTCAAGTGGCAGCAGCCTTCCAGAAACTCAGTCTCAGCCTGCAAGAACGACGAAGACCTACGGGAACACAAGCGAGATGTGGAAGAAATGGAGGAACAACACCTTTACCGGTCCATCGAGCAACAACGCACCATCCTCGTCATGAACGACTACCCTCTGAGCCTCGCCGACACTTGGAGTAGCGAGGGATTTAAGGCCACACTCAACCGCAAGGGAATCAATTATTACAAAGCCTTCCTTGACCATCTCATTCAGCTTTCGTCCGGCCAAGGATGGAACGCCACCACCACGGTCATCGAATACTATGTGAATAAGTGGCGCATCATTCGGGCCAATTTCCATTCCCGGCTCCTAGCCCTAAGCCAACTTTATGTCACCCTCCGCGATGGATATGAAAGCGACTGGCTGCACCTCAAGCTCACGGGCAAGAGTGACTCCCTGCTCACGCAGACTGGAGGAGCAGAAGGTGCCCGGAAAGGAGGAGCTGTCCCCCGCGAAATCGCCCTCTGCCAGAAATGCTAGACCATCCTCGACGGCGGGACCGGCTGCCCCTGGACTGCCCTATGTGGAAATGCGGCAAAACGGGCAGGCAAGGAAGCCCTTCGTCGTTTGGCAGCTGGTGAAGCAGCACCTCCGCCCGAATAAGGAAGACAACGCCACCTTACCGCAGAGCCCGTAGGGGCCCAGAAATACTATATATGTTCAGAAAGAAGTCTTCAAGTGTACGAACCGCCGCGCGACGGTCCACAAGCACTTGAGCTGACTACAACACGTGACGACCGAAGATCCACAACTTCACGTCAGCAATGAGCTCTTGGTTCCAGCCGAGAGACAATTTGGAAGGGGGACAGAAGGCAATCTGACAAGTTCGCTAACAATTACCACCCGTTATGTTACTTAATGCCTTTCTCGTTGTCGTTCTACACCACACGTAGGTGAGTCAGAACGATTTGTACGAGCAGAGGATATCCTCTGTGCTTCCCCGCGCATCCTTCCACCCCTCCTCAAGAGGAACAAAATTCGATATGGAACCATCGGGCACGGCCTGGATTTGGCCCGTTTGGTATGGGCAGGAGAAAACCACGTTTTCTCATGCCAGGACATCGATGTACAGTCACCGCTTTCTAAGCGGCCCAAGACCAAGGAAGTCAAGCACCTCCAACGTCAGAAGAAGACCTTCCTCAACTCCCAAAGACTAGACGCATTACTAGTGGACGAAGGCTGCGGCAAACAACGCAAGGAGGTTCTGACGCAGTTAAAACACTGTCAGGATACCGGGAAGCCAAAGTCGATCATCTTCGCTGGTCCGGTGAGCCGAGGATACGACACCCAAGACGCCCTATGGCGGAAAGGACGCCGCAAAGACCTTGAACGGATGGGCTACGTCGGGCAGGAATGGTACCTAGACCAACCAGGAGGCGCTGTGCTACAGGAACGCCTCATGGAAGTATTCAGCCTGACCTCCCTAGGGAAGAACCTGCCAATTACGCCAACACACCAAGGGCTCCCCCCAGGGAAATGAGCAACTTACCCTTACCCATTGGATATCCAGATCGAGATCGAGCCAAACTTCGTCAGATCTCCAAGCTCCCAAGCCCCACCACCTACCAAGAACACTACCAGCTCTATGGACATGTCCAGAACCTACCCATCTACGACGGAACCGGGTGCATGCCCGACAGCGTCGGGCGATGGGTGTTTGATGGGAGTCGGGTCCGGAAGCTACAGCTAGACGAGTTGGCCAAGGGCAAAGGAGTCCCTGGGGAATGGCGCGACAAGTCCCTGGAGTTGCCCTACAAGGCCGTGGTGGGAGCCACCGCCGTACACATCTGGACCGTGGTCTGCGACGCTGTGGCCGGGTGGCTCATCCCCACGCCCAAAGACCGCATCTCTCTTCTTTTTTT